TGTTCATCAACATGTTAGCTAAGCTCTCTGCTAGTACTCCCGACATAGCTGTCACCTGAGATGCAGTTGGATTGATAAATGTACATAGATGTGATAGAACTATCTAGCTTATCCTTCTTTTATGTCCCAACTAGGGAATGACAAACATCGGTTTGCTGCTTAAAAGGTTTGTCATATACTATTGAAAAGTCTCTGGAATAAAATCTGACTTGACAAGTCACCATTAATTTGTAATTTAATCAACGGTAGTCTTTTCCGTACTGTCATAGTCTCACATTTTCTTTCCGATGTTTTCCTATATTTGTATGAAACACAATCAACTGCTAATTCAATCGATTTACTTCTACGAAAACTGGACACGAACAAGTTTATTCTTGTTGTTAACGATATACTTCACTTGTATACTTCCAATTTGAAGCCTGCTCGCGACATGGTGATTGACCTCGCCTAGTTTATCAGCCTGTCAGTTTTCTAATTGATCCCAAACCCGGGTGGGGTGTGGGGCTAGGGACCCCACACCACAAAACCAATCGTACTGCTAGAGAAACCTCAGAGCACAAGAAAAATATTAACAATACAAAAATTATAGGAGACGAACTTATTGTTTCCTGGAATCGGAGAGGCGAAATGACACAGTGGGCTGAAGAGCTGAAAGCCAGTCAGCCAGCTGATATGTCTTTTCTCAATGAAAGCCAGAGTAAGAATGGGGACGTGGAATATACGTGCAATGTTCGAGGCTGTGAAGGGTGTCCAGTGAACCAAAGAAATGATAAAATACGACATAGAAGTGCAAGAAATCCGTGTGAGCAGACATAATAGATGTGCACTGTCAAAATTGTCAACTGGAGAGTCAATAATGTATTCATATCACTGAAAACGAAAGGTGCCTACCGATTGGAACAAAGGCTGGCTACCTTATCAAGCTACTGAACTAGGGCGACCTAGTGAGGCCTCAGCAGGAAGTGACTGACGTGGAATAATGTTCTTGTCCACGTCAAGTAAAATATGAAGTCGTGTCATCTAGTAGAGACTAAATGATGCGGTGGATAAAGACTTGTAGGCAGGCAAAAACCAACAAACTGGTTGAAGAGGCGAGAAGCGAAGACAGGACTCCAGGTGAGCACAGAGATCAGGAAGGAGGTGATGAAGACAATCGACCAACAGCAACAACGGCAACAATAACCAGCACCAATCAATCACGATCAACAGGAGAGATCTAGCAGAGGTTGCTTCCCACCTTCACTTATCTGACCAGGAAGCGTGGTTTCAACCACAGTCCGGCGGAGAGGATAAAGATATCAAAGCTAGTCAGTCAGGCAGCCAGAATTGGAAAGGCGAGATACGCCTTCATCAACCTGGAACCAGTTTAAAATCTTCTGCATTAAAAGAGCATAAACAACATCAAGATTCGGATCCTCAACACAAATGTTAAGCCAATCAGCTAGTGCTTCTATGTGGGTCAGAAATTTGCCCTGAGCGTGAGTCATGAAAAGGATTTCCAACAGGCGACTGCTGACTTTTATCAATAGCTGCCATCTTACCTGATCCATAAAAAAGATCAAATGATCGGCCGGCAGGCAGGTCAGAAAAAATTAGCAACAGTAGACTCTGTCTTGGAACAAATCAACCATAAGCTCAATATTCCACACGGAATCCTAAGCGCTAATAATACTAGAGAATGAAGCTTGTAATAATAATCGTGGGTAATAATAGTAATCAGAATAGTTGAAGACTTTCCGAGTTGCTTGTGTGTTTTGTGCTTCTGCGTAGGTGTAAAGTTGGCGAGAGCAATGAACGTGCAAATCATCATTGATTGTTGTGGTTGGATCTAGTTAGCTCTTTGGTCAACTATCATCTGTGTCACATGGAATAAAAGATGAATGGAATAAGATCAAAATGTTACACAACGCATTATGAAGAAACAGCATGACGGTAACACGCAAAGAGGAGTATACTACTACTACTACTTAACTTGATTGTGTGTTCCTTAAAAATGATTTACTCCTCCTCACCATCTTCCATATTTTGAAGATGTCCACTAAAATTGATTATTTGCTTCCTCATACGCATATTTTACAAAATATGCATATCGAGACATTAATGTAAGTACAAGCAGTTCAACGAAGAAGTCTCTTTTGGCCGGGGAATTCATTCACTTAGCAGGTACAATTGCAATGATACAAATAATTATTTTTTGTTTGTTTGTATGTGTGTGTGTGCATTAGGGTTTGTCCAACAAAAATAAAAACTAGTTAGGGTTATTGTTTATGTCATAAAATAATCAGATTGTAACTAGAAGGAAGAGGGGGGGTGAAGATTGGTAAGTCTTGACTAGGGTTACATAATATGAAAGATAATCGCACGACTTCCTAAATTCATTTATATAGTTCCATTGTTTTTCACTTGATTTGATTGGTAATAGTATTTTCCATATTTCAGGTATGAGTGATGAGTCATTCCTATTGCATGTGTTGGGTGTAGACTCGATGAACCAGACAGGCTTCAGTAATCAACCTCTCTCTCCACCTATCTAGATTACTTTTTAGAATTTTAACCCTCTCCCACCATCCTATTGTGTGGTTGTGTGTTAATGCATGCATTGCAAATTGCTGAGCTTTTTTCTTCTCGGGGTCAACCATTCTTAACTTAGCTAAATTCTTATGTTCTGACACTCTGACTCTACCCCCGACCTACTAGTTTGACCTATGTAGTTGACCTCATTCACAGTCATTGCAGGGTATTTTGTAAATTATATTATTTTGTCTAATTTGGTCAAATGGGTCCTTTAACCTACAGAGCTAGTCCTGCCTGAGTGAGTTTGTATGTTTAAATGCCACCCTATATATATTCCATGGACGTCAGAAGAGGGACTGAAGCGGTAAACCCAGCCAGTCCAGAACCACCTCCAGCTGCTCTAGGTCCCAGCATCGTTGTACGTTGTTGAATTGCTTCTTGTTCTTCAGTCTGAACCCGCTCCAACTCCAGGATTAGTTGAAGAAAACACTGAGTGGCTGTGCTGGCCAGGAACTATGTAACTGACCTGCTAATAGAATAGGCTGACTCAATACCACTAGTAGCTGCATCAAAAAGAACCGAAGCGGCATGGCGAACTGGCTCAGGAAACATTTCAGTGAGACCAATAAGACGTTCAGTGATGCTTTCATCTTCAATATCGAAGTCCTCACTGTCACCAGGAACATCTCCTATTTTGTTCGTGCTCTTTGTATAAGTGATGATTTCGGAGCGAGTTTTTCGGGTGGTTTTACTTGTTTCTTTCGACTGGTGATGATTTGACAGAGATAATACTGGCTTGGATTCGCTACCGCTTGTGGTTACGTCGACAGTTTCGGCTGAATAGTCAGGAGCTGGAAATACGGTCAAATCAGATGATTCCTAAGAAACTTCGATTATAAGATCTTAAAGTCCATAGCATGCGGGGACAAGCTCTGTAGGTTAAAGGACCCATTTGACCAAATTAGACAAAATAATATAATTTACAAAATACCCTGCAATGACTGTGAATGAGGTCAACTACATAGGTCAAACTAGTAGGTCGGGGGTAGAGTCAGAGTGTCAGAACATAAGAATTTAGCTAAGTTAAGAATGGTTGACCCCGAGAAGAAAAAAGCTCAGCAATTTGCAATGCATGCATTAACACACAACCACACAATAGGATGGTGGGAGAGGGTTAAAATTCTAAAAAGTAATCTAGATAGGTGGAGAGAGAGGTTGATTACTGAAGCCTGTCTGGTTCATCGAGTCTACACCCAACACATGCAATAGGAATGACTCATCACTCATACCTGAAATATGGAAAATACTATTACCAATCAAATCAAGTGAAAAACAATGGAACTATATAAATGAATTTAGGAAGTCGTGTGATTACCTTGATATGATTATGAGCAATAATTTGTGCTCTAAACATGGTCATCAGTAAACATTACTGTATAACAACACTGTGAGACTTTATCAAAACAAAATTTACCCATAATGGAATTACACTCTACCACAGTGCACAAGTTTTATTCTTATAATATGTAAGACGTCTAGAAAAATACGATATTTATGAAATAGCATGTATACAAGTGTGCAAAATAGATAAATTATGTAGTAGGTAGAAAGGGTGAATAGAGGGTTAATTAAGAGAAAAAGATATTGCTAAAAAGTGCACTTAATAGAATTAGTAACAAAATAGTTGGACTTGGAATTATTCCCAAAGTGTAGAAGGAGAGAATAAAGAAGGTTCTTCTATTTAAATGAATCAAGGTTTTTCATACGAATCTCTAAGGCCTCGTCAATGCAAAGTATGTGGAAGTTTACCGCTTTCGTGAGGCATCTTTTGACTCTAATTGGTGGGTGGTGACTAGCATTGGAATCAAGGGTGCGTATTTCGTCCTATTTGGGACTCGTCAGCTGGATGTACCTGCATTTCTCAGTGAGTGATAATGTTCCCACCGAGGCTCGAACCCAGTCACCATAGTCTCAAACGCCAAAGCGTTATCCACTAGACGACTTGGGCCACAAGAGCCACCTCTTGTGCAACGGGTCATATTGTGATTATTTCATTGAATTTTTGATTTTCCCGTCTTTTGATTGGAGCGAAGTGCTCAGTCTCAGGTTGGCACGTCGGCTTCTTATGCAGATGCTTCGACGATGTCTGGTATTTAATTAGTATTTAACTGATGGATTAAGTACCCAGACATCGTCGAAGCATCTGCACAAGAAGCCGACGTGCCAACCTGAGACCGAGCGATTGTACCTGCTAAGTGAATGAATTCACCGGCGAAAAGAGACTCTTGTCTGAACTGGTTGTTCTTACTCTCGTATTTGTTTATTGTAGGTGGTTGGTGGTAGTACCATAGCCGCAGCAAAAAGATATTAGCCAGGGGGTAGGGGTAAATGTTTCTTTGTTTATTTAACAATAAGTGAAAGTTTTCCTGTCTGTTTTTATGGCATTTTTAATTTCTGACTTAATTTCACTAACTTCTCTCTTTTAGATATCGGAATGAAATGTGAAGAATGTGGTGAACGATTCACCTATAAGTCAGACTTGGATAAACATTACAGAGCAATTCATACAAGTGAGTGAGGGATGCTGCTGTTGTCACCGATGATGATAGTTTGTGTGATTATTCTGTGTAGAAATTTCACTTAACATATAAATTTTATTAAATTCTCAATGTCTACTGTGATGAAAAGTTCACCTTCTGATGGTAGTCAGTTAGTTGGTTAGTTATTTAGTTAGTTTTACTGTTGGCCCTGACAGATTTACAAAAACTTGTTTAGATCTCATTAACAATAAAGCGGAATTTGAACAAAGCAAGAACTACAGTTTTAGCAGAATAAAATGGTACCATCATTGTTGATTTCGTTGCCTTCTCGTCAGCTGCTTACACGGCAAAGACATTACTAAATATATCTACAAAAACAATTTTGACATACTTGCATAGAGTTCATTTTAAACAAAAATAAATCGATCAATATACGCATACACTAAATATATATATATATATATATATATATATATATATATATATATAAAAAATAAGTGGTTGCATTCCTATTTTTCTGATAGGAAGCAGTACACCGTCTACAATGGAAAGTCCTCCACTACCTCACTTACTTTAGCTGGTGTTCCTCAAGGGACTGTTCTTTCTCCCTTTCTGTTTTCGTTTTTCTTACATGACTTGCCTCATTCTGATGTAGCCACTTTTGTTAAGTATGCCGATGACCTCTCGGTTTCTATGCCTGTCAACTCTCAGTCGGATTGTTCCAAATTAAATAACTTTCTGTCAGAAATTAGTCAGTGGTCCTCTTCAAACGGACTTAAGCTTAATCCGTCTAAATGTCAGGTAGTCAATTTCACTTTCAGACGTAAATGTGACCTACAGCAACTAGTTAGCTCACATGGCCCCACTATCATTGACGGCACAGAGGTTGAAAATACATCTAATGTCAAATACCTAGGGCTGAGTTTTTCCACCGATCTTTCCTGGTCTTCTCACATCTTGCTAGTTACTAGAAAGATGTTTCTACATTAGGAAATTTAGGCAGTCTGGTATAAAGCAATCTTTACTTTCTCAGTTTGTAAATTCTTGTATTCTACCCATCCTCCTTTACTGCTCCCCATTAGTCTTTCCTGGACTACTTAAGAAAGACTTTGCTTCGCTGAGAAGGGCACTAAAAGCCGTTAGTAGGGCAAGTGGGATATCGTTAAACCAACTGGTTAACACTATTGTAGATAGACATATTGCGTCATGTAAGAAACTAGCGAATACAATATTGTCGGACCCCGAGAATCCTCTCTATACGCATCTATCTCCTTGCATTTCATCTGGTAGAACTAGAAGTAGCTATAGGCGGGTATATGCTAGGACTACCAAATACAAAAACTCCACAATACCATATCTGGCACAGCTGTTATGTGATGAGAAATCCGTTAGGTATGGCACGATAAACTTACTGTGGCACTCTAACAAATAGTCCCATTAGATTTTGTTTTCCTTTCCTCGTTACTATTACACTGTTGTTCTCATCTTCTATCACACATCAACTTTATATTTCATATCCTGTGGTGCATTGTTTGAAATGTAAACTCTACGCTGTTTTTCTATTTTTATTTATTTAATTTATTTATAACTTATTTATTTTATTTTTATTTATTTATCTTTGATTTCAAAAATCTTATATAATTTATGAGGTAATTAGATGCAATATACTGTAATGCATGCGGAAAATTCCATACCTGTACCACAAATACCGTTTGGAATAAAGCTGTTATTATATATATAATATTAAACATTATTCCGAACAATAATAATCATATACAATGGAAACTTTTCAGCATTTCGCATTCAGATGAAAGAGAGGTGAAAATATGCAGTTTACCAGTCAGGGCAAAGAGAGTCTGATAACCGCTTCTTTCTGGACTCATAAATCAGGTTTCAGGCGCTTGATGGAAATAGCTTCAGCAAACTTGAGGAGGATTGAACACTTTGGCCTACTGATAATTTTGAACGACTTTTCGACGTCCATGTCATGACCCGTGTCGAGGATATTTTCAACTTTCTTCCGAATGCAAAATGTTAAAAGTTTCCATTGTGTATGATTATTATTGTTCGGAATAATGTTTAATATTTATATATATATATATATATATATATATATATATATATATATATATATATATATAGTGTATGCGTATATTGGTCGATTTATTTTTGTTTAAACTTAACTCTGTGCAAGTATGTCAAAATTGTTTTTGTAGATATATTTAATAATGTCTTTGCCGTGTAAGCAGCTGACGAGAAGGCAACGAAATCAACAATGATGGTACCATTTTATTCTGCTAAAACTGTAGTTCTTGCTTTATTCAAATTCATTAAGGGGAATAAATGTATGAAATAGAGTGGAATTTCATACATTTATTCTCCTTTATGAATTTGAATAAAGCTAAAAACAACAGTAATATGTGGAGAATAAGATGGTAGCATTATTGGTTATTTCGTTGGCTTCTCATCAGATGCTTATAGTCTAAAGAAATTATGAAGTTTATATACTTACCCAGAGAGTTGAAGTTTAAACAAAAACATTAATGTTTGCATACAATGGTAAAGACATCCAGTTCATCGCCATGGCTGAGGAGAGACTGACAACTGCTTCTTTCTAAACACCTAAATCAGGCGTTTTAGGCGTCTGTTGGAGATTGCTTTGACAAATTTGAGGAGAATTGAGTTCTTTTGTCTATATGCGATGTCCACCTCAGGATCCGTGTGAAGGAGATGCCTGACAGTGGCACTTTTGAAAGTTTTTGTCACCTTGAGACCTAGACATTTTGGTACATGTCCATAAAATCCGTGGTGTGCTATTCTTTCTGTTCTTCCAATGTGACTGCTTCCACAGATGAATATAACGGGAGAGCATATGTATGTATATGACTCGTTAACGGAACATCTGATGAACTCAGGAAACTCAGATCTATTTGAAATGTCCTTGAAAGTCTTATGCAAGGTTCGATCAAACCTATCAAGGTAACTGGAGATAGCTGAGGCACTAGCGATGCAAAAGTTCAAGCACGTGTTATGCGTTCAAGAGAACTGCGTTCATGACCCCCAGATAAAGTCTTTCTTTTCAATAATGATTATCTTATTACCTTTCTTAACTAATCTTACGTTATTTTTATTTTTTTTAAAGTCCTACTATCTGCATTACCATGTTTTTTTTATTATCCGAATTTACTGCTCTATTAACTTATTGAAGCGGTAAATGACGAAAGATCTTTGTGTTGTGGTATTTCTGGACTTCATATTGTCTTTCTTTGTGTTCCTTTCTCGTCTCCCATGTATTCTCACAACGGTGTGTCATTTGCCTTCTATGAAATCAAGTGTATCTTCATGCTATTTGATGTTTTTATGCTGATGCACGTGTCTTTATACACTATCGATAAATCTTATCAGTAGCATTTGCCAAATTATTCCTGCGTTAAGTTTCTCAATAATTATGATCCTACTTTGTTTTTTTTTAATCTCAACTTCCTGTTTAGTACACTTTGTGATTTTATTAACTTTATCCTTGACCGGAAATACTCCAGGAGCCTTTTTACCCATTCACTCTATAAGCACACGAATGTACTACAGGCCAGTTGATGATTTAGTCGAAAAGATAATTTTCTTTGGTTACAGGGTTTCATCATGAGCTGACATTGGTTAGAGAGCCATTAGAAAACCTGGAAGTACTCGACAGCTGTTCCATCCTAGTTTGGGACTCTTCATCAGTACGCACCCACCGGGGTTCTAACCCAGGAACTTCAGGTTACCTTGCCCTGTTCAGTTAGGTAGTTACCTGAGGTTCCAGTGGGAAGTCGTGACCAGTACGGTGCAGAAGGTCGGGTGTGAGGACAAATACTCGCTACCAAAGACATTGGCTAGCTGTTGCGCTATATCGTGAATTGGGAGGTGTTAGAATTCATGGACCATTAGATCGGGTTCCAGTGGCTTAATGGTCTACGAGCTCACCATGTAACCAGAAGGGCCTGGGTTCGAACCCCACGATGTGGGTGCGTACTGCTGAAGAGTCCCAAACTAGGACGGAGGAAACAGCTGTTCAGTACTCCTAAGTTTTCCAATAGTTCTCTAATTAACGTCAGCTCATGATGAAATTCTGTAACCAATCAACCAAATCCCTACAAACCAATACTTGAAAATTTTCTTCACTGCAACTGTCTTCGTTATTCAGCCATAAGTCAGCCATTCGAGTTGTGCTGTCTATTTGAAATGAGCTGTTGTCAGTAATGTATTATGATTGTAATGTATATATGACTCATGCGTGAACAGATTACTACTACAGTAGATTTGAACAGAAGTTTTTGTTTTGTTTTGTTGTTTTTTATCTTGCACAGATTTAAAGTATAACTGTGACTACTGTGAACAGACGTTTAGTTGGAAGGCGACATTATATGAACACAAACGCTCTGCACATAAAGGTAAGCGCCTTTTTTTCTGCCTTTCTTTTTTATAACCATTCTAAACAAAGTAACAGGCATAAAATGGACTCACACAAAAAACTTCGAGGATCTGGACTTCGCCCGCGATGATATATGTCTGATTTCCCACAAACTGAAAGACATGCAAGTGATGAAAGGCAAGAAGCTGGCAGAAGAAGCATCAAAGATAGAACTTCACGTCAGGTGAACAAAGAGAAAACAGAGGTGATGAAGATTCCTGGCCAACGCCAACAGCAACAACAACAGACAACAATCAGCCAGCATAAATGGGAGGAACCTGAAAGAAACAACCTCCTTCACCTACCCACCTGGGAAGCATTGTTTCAACTACAGACGGACGGAACTGACGAGGATATCGAAGAAGCCAGAATTGGAAAAGCAAGACAAGCTTTCATTACTCTCAAGTCTGTGTGGAGGTCAACAGCACTCAACATCAAAAATAAGATCTGGATTTTCAACTCCAATGTGAAGTCAGTCAGTCAGTGCTACTATACGGATCAGAGACTTGGCGCATCATAAAGAGCATGTCAAACAAACTTCAGATCTTCATGAACAGGTGCCTTCGCTCAGTACTCAAGATGTGATGGCTGGCCAGAAAACATCAGCACCAGGGATCTCTGGCAATGAGCGAACCAACACAGCAGGAACCGATCATGAAACAAATAAGCAGGAAGAAACGGAGATGGATTGGCTGGCCATACGCTGAGTAAACCATCAAGTGACATCACTAGACAATTCATCGCTCGAGTGGAACCCAGCCGAAGGAGAAGCGGCGAGTTGGTCGTCAGTGCAAGTGTGACTTGGAGGAGGTTATGGGAAGAGGAGATGAAAGCATGTGTAGAGACTTGGAGCGGAGTGAAAATGTTGGCAGAAAACAGGAGGCAATGGAGACGCACAGCTGAAGTCATATGTTCCTTTAAGAATTAAAGGATATAGAAATAATAAATAATAATAACATGTTTCTGATCCGTATAGAAGAACTGACTTTATGTTTGTATTGAAAATCCGAATTTTGTTGGTGATGCTGAGTGACGAAGATTTCCAGATTGATTTCAGGTTGATGAATGTGTTTCTCGCCTTCCTGATTCTCGCTCGATTTGACATCCTCGTCCGCTCCTCCTGTAGTTGAGACAATGCTCCCTAGATAAGTGAATGAAGTAACCTCTTTCAAATCCCTCCCGTTGATGGTGATTGACGTTGGATGCTGTTGCTGTTGTTGGTTGGTTATTTTCATAACCTCCGTCTTGTCTATGTTTACCTGGAGTCCTGTCTTCGCCGGCTGCTTCTTCGACCAGTTTGTCGGTTTTCGCTTGTAAGTCTTCGATTTTGTGTGACATCAAACATAAATCATCCACGCGCGAAATCCAGGTCTTCTAGGTTCTTCACGTCGGTCCAGGATATTCCTGTCTTCTCGTTTCCCACTGTCTGACGCATAATCCAGTCCACCACAATTAGGAATATCATTGGTGATAATAAGCACCCTTGTCTGACTCCTGTGTTTACTCCAAACGCCTCGCTGAGTTTTCCGTTGTGGATCACTTGACATGTGCCGTTGTCGTACAGCTGTTGAATAAGGTTGATGAATATTTGGGGTACGCCATAGTACTCGAGTAATTTCCAAATTACTTCACGATCAACGCTGTCGAAGGCCTTCTCAAAGTCTATAAAGTTGAGGTAGAGGTTTGATTGCCATTCCATGCTTTGTTCTGTGATGATGCGTAGAGTTGCAATTTGGTCAGTACATGATTTGCCTTTCCTGAATCCAGCTTGTTCTGGTCGGAGTTCTGTCTCCAGTGCGTCCTTTAATCTCTCCAGGATGATGCGACTCAGGATTTTACTTGGCGTCGACAGGAGCATGATTCCTCGCCAGTTCTTGCAGAGTGAGACGTAAGTCGCCCTTCTTTGGTAGTTTCACGAGGTAACCTTTCCTCCAGTCAGTAGGCACCTTTCCCTCCTTCCAGACCTTTTGCAATAATGGAGTCAGCATGTCTGCTGTAGTCTCTGGGTCTGCTTTCAGTGCTTCAGGGGGTATTCCATCTGGTCCGGCTGCTTTTCCAGCTTTCAGAAGCTTGATTGCGTTCAAGACTTCAGCTCTCGTTGGAGGATTGGTGTCAACTTGCAGTTGTGTGCGCGCTGTTGTTGGTATTTCTGGACGGGTTGCAGGTGATGGTCGGTTCAAGAGTCCTTTGAAGTGATCCGCCCATTGTTTAATCTGTTTTTCTTCCTTGGTAATTGGGTTCCCTTGGCTGTCTTTTATAGGTTTCGCTTGTGTTGGTCTCTTCCCGGATAGAGATTTGGTTATCTGATATAGTGTCCTCAGGTCCCTTTTGCCTGCTGCCTTCTCAGCTTCAGTAGCGAGGTTGTCGTAGAATCGTCTTTTGTCCTTCCTAGCACTCTTCTTCACTTCTTTGTCCAGTGCTGTGTAAGTTGAGCTCAGCATCTCTTTCTCTTGTCCGTCCTTGCATTGAATCATTTTCTCTTTCACCATTCTCCTCTCTTCTATTAATTTCCAAGTGTCCGTTGAGAGCCATTCCTTGTCTTGTCTCTTCTTTCTTCCTAGAACCGTTGAACACGTTTCGTTGAGAATCGCCTTCAGAGACTTCCAATGTTCTTCCACGCATGATTCTTCAGTGATGTCGCGTAGTGTTTCCTGCTTTGCTCTGACAGTTGCAGTGAAGGTGTCTTTTGTGGTTGTGTCCTTCAGTAATTGAGTGTTGAACTTGCATTGTGGCCTATCCCCAGCTATCCTCGAGGCTTTTAGTTTCACCTTGAAAGTCCCTTGTACTAGATAGTGGTCTGAACCCACATCTGCTCCTCTCCTTGACCTTGTGTCCAGTAGGCTCCGTCTCCACTTTCTTGAAATTGAGATGAAGTCTATTTGGTTCTTGGTGTTTCCATCTGGTGAAATCCATGTCGTCTTGTGTATATCCTTGTGTTTGAACACACTACCACCAATCACCAAATCATTGAAGGCGCAGAAGTCTGAGAAGAGTTCACCATTGTCGTTCATTTCACCGAGGGCCTCACGACCCATGGTGAGTTCTCTTCCTGTGTTGTCTCCTCCCAGCTTCGCATTCATGTCGCCCATCAGGATTTTGATATCGCCATTTGGGACGTTGTCCATTATTGCTTGTAGTTGTCTGTAGAACGCCTCCTTCTTCTCTTGTTCTGAGACGTTTGTAGGCGCATAGCATTGAATGACTGTAACTTTCCTTCCTTTTGAGTTGAACCTGGCTGTCATTATCCTGGAGGAGATTGGTTCCCACTGCATGAGAGCTTTGGTTGCTGTTGGTGACATCATGATGGCCACTCCCTCGGTGTGCTCATGGTTGTCCTCTGGGTGGCCGGAAAAGATTACTGTCTCTCCAGTAGGTAGTTGGCACCTTCCAGTTCCGTTCCATCTGCTTTCGCAGATTCCCAACACTTCTATTCTGTACCTTCTCATTTCAGCGGCTATCTGGGCAGCCTTTCCAGTTTCGTACATTGTACGAACATTCCAGGTACCCATCCTTACTTTTGCTTTCATCGAAAGAAGGCACATCGGCTGACTGGCTTCCCGAAGGCTTTCACCAGCCTGCGTCATTTCACTTCCCCGATTCCAGCGAAAAGTAAGGCTATTGCTTATGTTTTTAGAATTTTTAATATATTTATTCGTTGAAGTTTCTGTAGCGATTTGGTTGTTTTACAGGGGTGGAGTTGCTAGCACCACGCCCCAACCCTCCCTCTTTACCCGGGCTTGGGACCGGCGAGAAAACTAGTAAGCTAGTAGCCTAGCAAGCTAGTATCTGGCGAGGTTAATAATAATAATAATTACTATTCAAGTTTTTGCGCTGCCTATAACTCCAAAAAACACCAAATTAACTAAATTTATTTGAAATATCACACACAGTGATAATGCAGTATTAACCAGTGAATGGCGTTTCATAATCATGTAAATTTAGTCACACACACAGCCTCCCAATTTGTCTTTTATCTTCCGCTTGTTTTTCTCTTGCCATTTTCCATATCTCCGGTAGAGGTGTTGCGTCATCCGACACGATTTCACGTGTGTGATGTTGAATCGATAAACAAAGCTTCAGTGATTAACCTCTCTCTCACTCTACCTGATTATATTACTTTTCAATACTCTCACTCTGCCCCACCCTATTTTGTATCTGTCTGTCTGGATTCAACACAGAACTTGGCACCGAAGTGCAGCAGATCGAGTTGCCACATTCCAAGTAGTACACAAAGGTAGACAAGAAGATGAATGTAGAGAATCAATAGAGTTTGACAAGTATGAGTTAAACAGAATGGGTAATGGTGGGAAGGAATATGAAAGATTACAGAGACTGAATACATATGCGCTGGCCATTGACAACGATTTTGAGCCATGTCACCTATTGTCTCCAGCCATTGATTCCTAGAGTCCCGACGGCCCCAACCCGGGAGTCTGCATCTCCCTACCTGACTCAGTTTAACTGTCAAGGATTTCATGGATTGATGCCATGTTTTTGTCTGGCCACCATTTACTCTTTTCTAACCTGCACTTATATCAGCTAGTAATGCCCGTCGTGGGGGTGGTGGTGGTGGTGGTCGTGATGGTTAGGCATGCGCACCACGTGACCGACCTAGCCATCTCAATCTATGTAACTTTATAGCCTCGTCGATTGATTATCCCTCTTTGCTCAACACTACGCCTAACGTCTACATTACTTACCTTATTATACCACCTAACGTGAGAAAGAGACCGCAGACATCTATGATCGAAAGCAGTCAACCTTTTCATGTCTTCAACTCGTATTGGCCATGTTTCAGAGCCATAGAGAAGGACGGAGCGAACTGATGAGCAGTACACACGTCCCTTGGTTGATAACCGTATGTCACGCCTACGCCAGTGAAAGCGTAAGTCACCGAAAGCAGCTCGAGCCTTTTGGATCCGTGCTGAGATTTCGTCGCCAATCGTCCGTTGGTGCCGATACAACTTCCCAAATATGTGAAGTGGTCAACATGTCATATCACTTCACTCCCTATCACTAAGCTAGGAGTGTTGACGTAGTCCAGTCCTTTAGCAGCATCTTACATTTTACAGGGGCGAATGGAATGCCAAACATACGAAGATTGCTGCTCTAGGTGTTCAGAAGACTGCTGGATTTTGTCAGCATCCTCCCCTAACAGGACTATGTCATCTACATATTCTAAGTCCATAAGACTATTCCCTGGTAACAAGTCGATTCCTAAGTACTTAAGTTCAGTTAAGGATACTTCCATTAGCATATCTATGATGAAGTTAAACAGAAGTGGGGAAAGTGGACGTCCCTGTCGGACACCACTGGTTGTTATCAATTCAGATGACAATTCCCCATAAGCCCTCACACGACTACGTGAGTTTGAATAGAGTGCCTTGATTAGTGCAATGTACTTTCTTGGCACTCCCTTCACAGTCAGACATTGCCATAGTACCTTTCGATCCACCGAGTCGAAGGCCGCCTTCAAGTCAAGAAATTTGGCAATTGTTGGACGCCGAAAAGTATGTCTGTGTTCTAGAATCTGTCGTAGAGTGAAGATATGATCTGTGCACCCTCTACCTGGTCTAAAACCTGCTTGATTTTCCCTCGTTTGTTCTTCCCGAGTTCTGCTTAGTCAATGCATGATTACTGAGCCTAGGATTTTAGAAACTGTGCGTTCGGTTGCTTATAGTTATTAATTCAATTGCTTTACATTACACTCTGTTTTTATTCTTTGCTTTTTCTAAACAACAAGGTGTATATTTCCAGTGTGACGAGTGTGAACTGTCGTTTGTCCGCAATTGGAATTTAGAAAAACACAAGAGAGAAGTGCATGATGGTGAGTTATGCCATAGTATGATTGTGCAGCATATATATGTATATAATTACTATGAGCTGGTGTTGCGTTATTCTGCTGCAAGAAAGCAATTAGTTAAACTGTTTGAACAGATTTGAGATCTCTTTCAGTTAACTTCAACTAGAAATAACACTTACTGCGTCTTCATCTATCCTGTTATACCTGAGCGTTGGCCATACTACCTGCTGACCGATTTCCTAGCCTAGCCCACCTAACCGCCTGGTGGCCAGATTGTTCTTAACACAGTCCCAATTAGTGAAGGGCGGATATAACTCTCATAGCTACTCAAAATGGTATTTATTAGCTAGTGATGACAGGAATATACTCTAGAGATACACAATTACACCACAACGCCGTCGGTAAGCTCTCGTCCCTTGCAAATGATACTGACCACCATGTGTTTCAATCTGCATAGAAAAATGGATTGACCGTTGATAGTGAAATGTCTGAGACTCAATTGAGGTTCTTTGATCCCCTACACTGGTACACGTTATAGAAAAGATTAGTAGCTCAAGTGGATGATTTGTAATTAATCGTGTTGTCTGAGCTGGTTGGTTTAGTTGCGGAGCTTTCGTCGTCTTTCTGCACAACATTCTCTTTCAGCGCAGTATTTAGCATAAAGTCAAATGATTTAAAATCTCCATGAATGATGATACAATAGCGTCTCCTGGGGACCAACCATCTTTACATATATGTATTGACCGTTTTCTATTGACTTGGGATTTTAAACTTACAACATACTGCCAATTCAATACTCAAATATATCAGGAAATAAAGGGAACACCAATGGGATCTCCCATATCAGGATTAATAGCTGAAGCCGTTATGCAAAGATTAGAATTAATAGCTCTACCTATAATTAAAACCGAAAATCTGGGTACGTTACGTTGATGATACATTTGTAATAATTAAGAGAAATTATTTAGAATATACCCATAAATTAATAAACAACATATTTGAAGACATCAAATTCACAAGAGCAGAAGAATTAGATAACACAATCCCATTCTGAGATGTCTTAATCAGGAGAATCAACACAGGAAATTTAGAAACACAAGTGTATAGATAATCAACGCCTACACACAGATCAAATGCTCACCTATTTTAGCAATAATCCAATTACTCACAAAAGAAACTGTGTGCAGACATTGTTTAGAATAGTTCAAACACACACTGTAGCACACCAGAGTTGAAAATAATGGAAGAAAAATACCTACAAACGGTCTTCAAGAAGAATAGTTATCCAAAAATTTCATCAAAAAGTGTTTAAAGTCGAATCAAAGCACCAACAAAGAACCATCATCAAAGACCAAATAGAAATGCATTCTACCATAAATCAGAAATATCTCTGAAATAACAGCTAGAATAATGAAACCGTTTGACATAGATGTAGCACACAAACCAGCCTAATCGCTTAATTCGATCTTAGGCAAACCAAAAGATCCGACAGAAAAAGGAGATAAAATTAATACCATTTTGAAAATAAATTGTATGGACTGTAACAAACATTACATCGGCCAAAGTGGGCGTCCCCTTCGAATAAGAATCCAGGAACACAAATCAGCCGTGAAGAGACATGATATAAATTTTTTAGTATCAATGTATACAGACAATTATGGACAAAAATTTGATTGGGATAGTGTCAAAATCTTAAACAGAGGAAACACCTAATGCAATGCCACGGAATTCCTAGAAGCCTGGTACTCAAATGAAAATGCAATTAATAAACACGTTAATATAGATGAAATATACCAACTAATAAAAAGTAAATCAGGTGGCCAGAAAGGTTAAAATCCAAGTCAATAGAAAACGGTCAATACATATGGTAAAGATGGTTGGTCACCAGGTGAAGCAATTGTATTATCATTCATGGAGACTTTAAATCATTTGACTTTATGCTATATACTGCGCTGAAGATGTCGTCCAGAAAGACGACGAAAGCTCCGCAACTAAACCAACCAGCTCAGAGAACACTATTAATTACCGTTACATGTGTTGAATGTTGATACGGTGAAGAAAGATTTCTTTCAACTAATCTAATCAACCCTACCTAGACTTACACTTGTTTGTTTAATTGTATGCACATACATACACAACGTGGTGACAATTTATTCATTATTAGTATCATCAGTATTTTATTCCTTTACTTTTCGAGTAGAGCATAGGCCTTCAAAATAGAACATCGGAGTTTCCGTAGCAGTAGCGTTTATTTTTACGGTGTGGATTTGTTAATCTCACGCCCCCAACCTTCCTTGTCTACTGGCCTTATTACTGGCTTAACGGGGTTTTACGTGTGTGTCGTGCGGGGTTCGAACCTTGAACCACATGGGGCCTGGTTGATGAGGGTTCTACTGCTGATCCACCAACGTATGGTGACCTAATTAGACATCTACCATATACCCCATTTTATCACTGAGGTGAAATTAACTGGCTAGTCAGACCAGTAAATCAGTATCACATATAATAGAGATGATGCAATACCACTTGTGGATATATGCAGAATTCGCATCAAGATGATCCACCGAAGATGAGTCTTTCAATGAATCTTTTACCGACCTGTACTGACACATATATATACCATTCAAAAGAATAGATATTTAAGTTGCGATAAAGTATTATATAATGAGGACGGGAGTAAGAAAAGGTTGGTTGTCTACTATCGCCAGTGATTTTCCCGATTGCAGGAGATTGGATAATGCGACAGACAGCGGCAGGCAATGAGGAAACAGGCATAAAATGGACTCACAAAAAACTTCGAGGATCTGGACTTCGCCCGCGATGATATATGTCTGATTTCCCACAAACTGAAAGACATGCAAGTGATGAAAGGCAAGAAGCTGGCAGAAGAAGCATCAAAGATAGAACTTCACGTCAGGTGAACAAAGAGAAAACAGAGGTGATGAAGATTCCTGGCCAACACCAACAGCAACAACAACAGACAACAATCAGCCAGCATAAATGGGAGGAACCTGAAAGAAACAACCTCCTTCACCTACCCACCTGGGAAGCATTGTTTCAACTACAGACGGACGGAACTGACGAGGATATCGAAGAAGCCAGAATCGGAAAAGCAAGACAAGCTTTCATTACTCTCAAGTCTGTGTGGAGGTCAACAGCACTCAACATCAAAAATAAGATCTGGATTTTCAACTCCAATGTGAAGTCAGTCAGTCAGTGCTACTATACGGATCAGAGACTTGGCGCATCATAAAGAGCATGTCAAACAAACTTCAGATCTTCATGAACAGGTGCCTTCGCTCAGTACTCAAGATGTGATGGCTGGCCAGAAAACATCAGCACCAGGGATCTCTGGCAATGAGCGAACCAACACAGCAGGAACCGATCATGAAACAAATAAGCAGGAAGAAACGGAGATGGATTGGCTGGCCATACGCTGAGTAAACCATCAAGTGACATCACTAGACAATTCATCGCTCGAGTGGAACCCAGCCGAAGGAGAAGCGGCGAGTTGGTCGTCAGTGCAAGTGTGACTTGGAGGAGGTTATGGGAAGAGGAGATGAAAGCATGTGTAGAGACTTGGAGCGGGGTGAAATAGTGCGTCGGTGGCACAGTGGTTAGGACTCTCGCCGACCATGCACATGGTCCGGGGTTCGAGCCCACGCTAACGCACACCTGATATCTATGGTTGGCCTGCGAAATTTGGGCTACCGATATCCATGCTGAAAATTCCATACTTGTACCAAAAATACGTTGTGGAATCAAGCTGTAATCAAAAATAAAAATAAATAAATAAATAGTTGGCAGAAAACAGAAGGCAATGGAGATGCGCAGCTGAAGCCATATGTTTCTCTAGGAATTAAAGGATACAATAATAATAATGATAATAATAATTATTTGAGACTTCGATCACAGTTAAACATCTAGGGGTCAAATCGGTTATGTAATGCGGAAAGTACTCCATGTAATCTACAAGTCTTAGAATGGGGCAATCTAAAATATTTCATAACCAGGTGTGAATATTGTTAATAAGATTGCGAAAAATCACTTGAAATCAAATAAATGAAGGGTGACAAGGGAGATAGCATCGGAAAGTGTTCAAAGTGTAAATAATAATAATAATAATAATAATAGCAATAATAATAATTGAATTAGTAAAGGGTAGGATATGCAAAATGAATAGACAAAACGAAAAATAGATAGGGCGAAAGCTGGAATGAGGATTATAATAGTTTAGCATAGACTCGCATAGATTGAGATAATGAAATAAAGGAGTAGTTGAACAACTTTCTTCTACATACAAAGTTCTGGTTTCTCTCTCTCTTCCGATTATCAGAGCTTCAGCAATGCAGAAGAATCGAATGCGCAGGCTATTTTACCCTTTAGAGATAACTTTAAAGGAAGAGGTGATAAAGATGAGATGACTAGTGTCGATCATATATTCAACTACTGAGCTTCTTATAGTAGCTGCATTTCCAACTCTTTGTAACCTAGTAGGGTAGTCTGTTGTACTCTATTTGACGAAGTCCATGTCGAACGACCTATGTATTTAGCTCCACAGGAGCAGGTAGGTTGGTAAACACACAGAGAGTTAGCCGACTGCATAGAATCTTGTCCTTTAGGTTATCGTGAGATCTTTACTTCAAGAATGTTGACAGCTAAGTCACCTTTGAGTTGAAGGTTCAAATGTATCATTAATTTCTTGGATACAAATGTGAAATAATATGGCATATGTTTTTGCAGCATACCTTTGTCTATAAAACATCATGGATATCTACTTTCCATCACAACATCTCTCAAAAGATTCAGCTCTTCTTCCATGGCGTAACAGCTACATACGGGGAATAAGAGTGACGAGTGATTGGATTGGCTTTCATTTTTAAACAAGGAGTACTTAGCTATAAATGACTCCGAGTAACCAGTCTAACACAATTGATGCCACCTTTTTTTTACAGTCATCCTGCATATTGTTGTCTAACTCCTTTTGAAAGAACACAGATCAACCTATATACCTGGTTTCAGAAGAGAATTTGAACTGATATACTCACAACGATTTGGTCATATATAAGGGATCTTGTTTGCCGAATTGATTAAAAGCAAACGACGACTAGAATACATCACCATCAGAGTTGTTACGAAGATGGCTTTCTTTAGAAAGTTAAGGATTTTTCTTTTTTAAGACATGTTGTGCTTATTCCTTCAGCCGCTCTCTCCGAAAGTCAGGGCTCTTATTTGGTGAGCAGGTGAAATGATAAGAACTCTCTTTATTGACTCATAGATGTCTAATTATAAAAATTAGTAATGTTGATTATTCATTCATAATATGAGTTTGACAAGCGGAGACATACAACTACATTCAGAGAGATAGCTTGAACACTAAATAACAGCCAACAGCTGAGATGGTATCACTTTGGTTTTCAAGATTTAAAGATGAAGTTGTCAGTTGACTATAAAGTTTACTCCTTGTTCATTTCACTTTTACACCTGAGTAGGTCAAGTTATTATTTCTTTAGGCGTTCCCATTGTTACTATCATTCTTTGTATAGGTCGAAAATTTCCACAATCCTGAATGCGACATAACAATTTTATTGCAAAAATCTTTTATAGTCAACACATGCAAAAATACATCACAGTTGGATGTTAGTCGATTTAGCGTATATACATCAGGATAGAAGGCGAAATATTATGAGTCAGCATTTCTCACGTGATCGATACACCAAATACTCGATCTCACACAACCTAATCTGAAGGTCAAGTCAGTCAATTTCTATTGGTAAATATTATCGTCGAAAGAAAATTTTCTTCGCTGTTTGTGCCTTTTCTTATGACTCAGTATGGGAATATTTCGTTCATTGAAAAACTCCAAGGACCCAGCGACAGTAAAGGAATTAGACAAATTCCTGCGTTTCTCTGTCAAGCTTGGTGAAGTCAACACGGAGCTTAATTTTCTTAAACGATGCATCGATAAGCATGAGTATCCAAAACATTACTGGAAGAATCTCCGCCGGAATCATATTTACCCTAACTCAAAGACACTAAAACGTCACACACTGAATCACATCGACGCCATCCGCTCACGCATACCCGAACTTGAGCGAAACATATCACAAAGAACCCATGCTTTATATGAACTATCTGATGATGAACGACAAACATTCCAGGATTACGTATCTAGTGTCATACAAAAGCGTTGTGACGATACTACTTCACGACTAACAAAAAGCTTGAAACCATCTGAAACTTTTTCGACGTTTCCACAGAATCCGGAGAAATATGTATTCAATTTCTCGAATTTTCCTCTGACTCCTGTTCAAATGCAAGTCCTATCACTTGGCCCAAAATTTTGCCATGTATCGAGTAAAACCAACGAATTACATACTAAAGTGCAGTTTGAGAATTTAATGTCACAGACATCCGATTTGTCACCGACTTCCGAAAAAGACCTAGATCAATTCAAAGCTTCAATTCTTGACAGCTGTTACAAGTACATTCGTACGCAACCGAGCCACCGTTACCTACTAACCAAAGAACACAGAAGACAACTTAAACAACTTCAAGAAAATAAGGACATAATCCTTGTCCGTCCTGATAAGGGCAGTGGGATTGTAGTGATGAATAGATCCGATTATAATGAGAAATTGACAAATATACTATCAGACAAAACCAAATTCTTTGAATCACCCAACCAAAAAGACACAACCGAAAGAACAGAAAACCTACTCACAAAATTGCTGAAAAGAATGAAAGAAGATTCAGTCATAACACAGGAGGTTTATGAGCAAATAAAACCATGTAGTTCAACTATTCCAAGACTGTATGGACTGCCGAAAGTGCATAAAGAAAATGTTCCACTTCGACCGGTCATAGACATGGTTAACTCACCGTATCACCAAATCGCGAAGTGGCTAGCTGATATCCTCGAACCAGTTAAAAGACATATGACAAAATATAGCCTCAAAGATACATTTGACTTCATCGACTCAGTGAAGGATGTCAACGTGTATGAAAGACAAATGATCTCACTAGATGTCGCCTCTCTATTCACAAGTATCCCCCTGACTGAGACAATATGCAACATTTGTAATTACATAGAAACCAACAACATAGAAGTTCCTCTCCCCATAAACTACCTGAAGGAACTTCTTCTCAGATGCACGTTCAATGTCCAGTTCAAATTCAATGAACAGTTCTATGTACAGAAAGATGGAGTAGCCATGGGGTCTCCTCTCGGTCCACTCCTAGCTGACTGTTTCATGGCGAGTCTTGAAAACAACATCCTTGATCCCTTGATAAGTCAACTGCACTTATACAAGAGATATGTAGATGATACATTTATAATCTGCGATGAAAAATGTGATATAGATTCTCTCCTGAAAACCTTCAACGCAGCGCATCCATCAATAAGATTCACCTTAGAACGCGAATCGAACAACGCATTTCCATTCCTCGATGTATTACTCACCAGAAGAGACGACTGTACGATCCAAAGATCGATATACCGTAAGCCAACATGGACTGGACAGTTTATCAACTTCCAGAGCTTTGTCCCACTGACCCGAAAGAGAAACTTGGTACGTACATTGTGCTCAAGGATTAGAAAAATCTGCTCGGAAGACACGGTGGAGAAAGAATTAAATTTATTGCGTGAAACCCTACTAGAGAATGGGTATCCGCCAAGATTCATCGACAAAAACATGAAGGAGAAGCCCCCGGTGCCAAATATCACAACGGTTCCTAAGAAGACTCTCTTCATGAACCTAGAATTCAAAGGTGACATCGCAGCGGAAATCCTCAGAAGCCGCCTTTCAAAAAGTCTGAAGAAGACATTCCCAACAGCCACTCTACATATAACATTCTCCTGCAGACAGTTAATCCAGTCTAACGTTAAGGACAAGATACCGCCTTTGGCCACTTCAATGTGTATTTATCAATTCACTTGCTCGTGTGGAGCAAAGTATATCGGCCGTACGCAACGTCAAGTCCACAAACGTATCCTGGAACACTGCCCAGCTTGGTTAGCCAGAGGAGAAAAGAAGAATACCAACAGCTCAATCCTCGAACACCTTGTTATCTCCGGACATCGAGCACCCCCACACGAAAGCTTCACAGTGGTACACAGAGTCCCTCAATATCGTACAAAAGGACTCCGGATACGACATCTGTACATAGCCGAGGCACTAGCTATTCGTGACATAAAACCGGACCTATGCATACAAAAACGATACATACATTCTCTAGCCCTACCATGGCCAGAGTAAATTTCTAACTATAATTTTTCTCCTCTCTTTTAATACGTAAGTTCACTGTTATTATTATTATTATTACTGTTCTTAATACTTTTATTATTATTACTATTCCCACCATCCATATTTTATTACTACTCTATGACTGTTTATTAATAACATTGCTTTTTCACACAGATCTTATACAAAACTACTGTAAAACCTTTCCACTAGTTCCTGTCCACTCTACACTAGCTTATTGATTAGTCATTATCTCACACTTATTAGGTCATGCCAACTTCTGTCTCCTTTCTAACTTACAATTAGTCATCCCTTCTTACACCTCACACTATGTAGCAGAATTTTCAAGGACAAAGTTTACCAGTATCTGATTGGTCAAAAACTTATGTGTTTAATTATAATTACGATTGTACAGCTCATGAAAATGAATCGTCGAAAAGAAAATTTTCTTCGCTGTTTGTGCCTTTTCTTATGACTCAGTATGGGAATATTTCGTTCATTGAAAAATATTATCCAATCAGAATACTGCTCGTTTATCTTTAGCCTTGTAATTGATTGGTCTTGCGGAGTAGTAATTTAGATAGTTTCACTATTAGATGACAGCAGATGGTTGATATTGTTACGGTAGAAGACAAGAGACTTGCTACAGGAATGTTCTCTTGGAATTTGATATTTCTATACAGGGGAAATTATGGCCATCTTTTATGAAAATGCACAGACCTTGCATGCTCTGCTGCTTCTGCTGCCCTTTGTATTGTGTTTTCTTACATTCTTACAATGTCTTACATTTTTCTCTGCAATCCTGGTTCATCATTTCCTCTCTTTGATATAAAATCTGTCTCTTTGCCCTTTGGTTGTTTTTATGCAATTTAACGTCTCTTTACATACTACTGATAAATCTTGTTAGTAGCACTCGACGCAATATGACTTTATTTCTAGTTCTTAAAAAATTATTGGCAGTTTTCAGTTGACATTATACACCGTCTTTTTATTTTTATCATTTGAATTTATCACTTTGTATAGATAAGATGAAGTCTCCTCTTTACTATGCACCACGTTGTTATTGTGTTATTCTCTGTTGTGTTGTATTCAGGTGAAAAATTCAATTGTCCCCAGTGCGATAAAATGTATTCGACCAAAAATTTCCTTAACCAACATGTACAGGTGCATCATAAAGGTGAGTGATATGTGGTGGCCTGTGTGTGTGTGTGTGTGTTTATTCATGTCAACACTTATGCTGATCGAACTGTTTTTTTTTGTAATTTGAAATGCTTTGTATCGGTTATTATTATTCTTTTGGATTTCGGGTGGAAAAAATGGGCATCAACAAGATATCTCCATTTTGTCTTATTCTCTTCAGTCTTCAGCTGTCACCATGACTGCCCTTCAGCTTTCATCCCCATGTGATCCTCGCACTGATTTTCAGCTTGTCGTATCTCATTTGGGTTCCACTGGAGCGACAGCCTGGCACGCGATGTTACCCAGTGACCTTCTAAGTGTATGTCCTATCCATCTCCATTTCCTTCAGCATACATGTTAAGCAATAGGTTTTCACTTGTTGATTCGTTCTCACAGTTTCTTGTTGCTAATTCTTTGTGGCCATCTGATCTCCAGTATGAAGGTAGCGAAGGCAACTGTGGATAAAAGTTTGCATTAGTCTGTTGGAAGTCCTTATCGTGATATGCCAAGCCTCTGAACTCATATAGAAGAATCGAGTTGAAATTGTTATTGAAAATTCCGACCTTTTTTCTTTATGGTGAGTGTAGCAGATTTACAGAATGATTTCAAAGTGATCAGCGTGTGTCTTGCTCTCCGATTCTGATTTCGACATTCTCTTCCCTACTGGCTGCCTGGTTTTGAAACGACACTTCCTATATAAATGAAGGAAGTAATCTCTTGTCTTTCTATTCCGCTGATATTGATTGTTGGTTGGTTGTCTTTTCTATGTTTACTTGAAGTCATGTCTTCGCTGTCTGTCAACTTGTTGCCTTTGCCTGTAGGTCTTCGAATTTATATGACCTTACAAGTAAATCATTCACGAAATCGAGATCTTCTCGGGTCTTCTCATTGGGCCAATGTATTTCTGTCTTCTCGTTCCTGACATACAGTCAGTCTTTGACATAATCCAGTCCATCACAATTATAAATGTGATCGGTGGTAATAGACAGTGAGCTTTGTCATATTCGTGTATTCACTTCTGTTATGTCGCTGCTGCTGAGTGGTTAATAGTAGTTTTCCCCGTCGCCAAATTGTTATGTACTCGTCGCCAAATTGTTGCTATGTACTGGTCGAGAATTTAATAGTCCTGACGCAGGAAAGACGCAAATCAGAAGACCACTAGGTTTGCGATGATACTTCTATTTTCCAAACACAAGGAGAATGCAAAAGTGGTATCACACCAGTGTCACACAAGATTGTGAGAGCGAAATATATATGAATGTCCAGACAAGTGTGTGAACAAATCAATAGACAGTTTTAACATGAATGGCTAATTATAATGGTGTATCGATCCATATATACATAGCAAAATATAGCAGACATGTCAACAACCACACATATAATATGGATATATGTCACCAAGCAATGGACTGTCAACAAACACTCCTATTATATATAATATGAGGGGAATATACATTGTTAAAGGAGACAGGTTCATCAAAGTGAATTGGTCACAGACTAAACGAGCAAACAGAAAGAGAGACCACCATACATATATATATATATATATATATATATATATATATATGGATACATATCAACTTCAAACGCTTCTCTGAGTTTCAGTGGCATGTTTCATTGTCATGTAGCTGTTGAAGGAAATTGATAAAGTTTTATGACACTGCATTCGCTCCCACCAAATGTAAGTTGTTGCTACAGGACTAGACTACATTGACTTCTAGATTAGAAATAGGAAGTGAAGTGATAGAGTACGTTGACCGCTTCACTTATTCGGGAAGTACCATCAGCCCCAACGGGTGGATCTCTGAC